ATGATGATGATGATGATGATGATGATGATGATGATGATGATGATGATATAGGCTTGCAGGCCTTTCCATCTCTAAAAAAGGGATGATCTTCTCAACACCGACGGCTCGTCACAGGCTTCCTGCGACAGACCCGAGGGATCTTGTTTTTCATGGCGGCCCTCACGTCGGGTTTACCTTTTGGTTTGCGTTCGTTTCACGCCATATTCTTAGCATACCACATCATCATCCAGGACCTTCAAAGGGACCTTTTGATATCCCAGGATGAGGTCACTTAGGCCCGTAAAAGGCCACTTACAGACTCCAAAGTGATCACTTAGAAGCTCCTGGATATATGAGTCCTGAATTGTGAAAGACACACAAAAATGCCAAAGACCGAAGGGATAATGATGTGGATCTGAAACTGATCGTTGGAACGAGGGACTGGCCCTGGTATTCTTCCGGTTCTATGTATTATGATGTATTCTGTATTAATGTATTGTATAAACCTTTTCCTTGGCGAATCGCTTGAGTCTATGTTGAATCCACACGCACCAGACAGCATCTGACTCTCAAGTGGCCAAGCGCCAAGCGCTTTTTCCTCACAAAAAGGTTGCCAAATGTAGCTTAGATCATCCTAGATCTACATCGGCGTTGTGAACCTTGCTTGGAAGACTTCCAAGCATGATCAGTGCTGTGCTTGGACCCTTGACCCTTGATTCTTCCAAGACATATTATTCAACAAAAGGTTCATGAGTACAAAAACACCATCCTAGTATATCCTAGTCATCCTCATTCGCTTTACCGCCTGACATTGACCTGGATGATCCCATCCTTTCCCGCCACAAAGACCCGCAACTGCTCAGAGCTCGCTATGCTCGCCGCTCCTTCTCGCCCAAGGCGCGCGTGCGCACGGATCAGTTCCGAGAGCTCCGAAGGGTTCGCGGCCTTCTGCAAAAGCACAGTGAGCTCTTTCTTGGAGGGGCTCCTGGACGACCCTGGGAGGTGAATAGGACCACGATGGATAGACCGTGTTGGGAGCTAGAGAAGATAGATGATGGAGACAGTTAAAGCGTGTTTTTCAGCCCTCGGTTGTTGATAAAGATGGGGCATTGTTAAAGCCTGCCAAGTAATTTCTTATCTTTCTTTCGCCCCAAGCACACAACAAACAGCCAGCATAATCCAAAAAGGATCCAAAAAGGATCCAAATATGACACCAGAAAGGTGTGAGACGTCCAGCGACTAAGAGACCCAATGAGAGACCCTTCAGCAACCGCAGGGAGGCAAAACGACCCAAAGGACCGGGGCAACCAAGAAACACCGAGACTAGGGAAAGCAAAGGTTTTGACTTCAGAATCCAGAATCCATATGATGTTTCTTTTGATGCAAGGGGTAGGTGAGTTAGTAGGGCTGGCCCCAACCTTCCAACAACCTGGCTGGATCTATATCTAGGGCCTCTTGGTGCATCAGATGCCCAGTCCAGGGTATTTTCTTCGACCCGTCCTGGTGCCCTCCACGCCCCAGGCAGGCACCGCAGGCACCGCAGGTCCGGAGAAGGCTCTCTGAAGGAGCCGCATCTGAAAGAAACCATCCTGTTGATGGACAAGAGTTGCTGTACACTTTTTTGGACTTCAGGTGCCAAAACCAGAATCATCTCCATGTCATATCCTAGACATCTATCATCTATATATACATATCTCACATGTCTATAAGAATACTCTTGTGTGTTTGAACAGGGTGCGCTGTTGAAGCCAGGAAGGTGGATGATTGATCTCTAATTGGTCGATCTGAGGCGATCTCATGCGGGAACTTCAATGTTCACAAAGGGGCCGAGCAGGGTCTTTGACAGATTTGGACACGGTCACGTCACCGTCTATCAGCAGGTCCGGTCCCAGCAGGATCTCCTCCTGGTCTTTCTGGCTGATTGGGGGTCTGTCTGTATAGGACCCATTCATCGTTCGCACGTGAATGTTGGACAGGAGGAAGGTCCCATGTTTAGAGGTTTCTTGGGCCGCTCCCGGAAGCGGAGGTGTTCGAGGTGTCTTGGGCGGAATGAAGAGCGAGTCCCTTGGGCTGGTCATCCGTCTAGTCTGATGATGTTCATCCACCGAGCCAGCGGCTGCACGGACGACGACAACTAGCAAAGCAGCCCGCGGAGCTGTCTTATATGGTCAAACTTCAACAACAGCATATGGTGATCCAAAAATCTGAGAAACGTCAACCCCCTCTGCACATGTTTGTCTAAGTTGATGTGCTTGGGGCACCAGCATGTGCACCTTCACAAAAAGATTTGCAAAGGAGAACGAAGAATGAACAAGTGAAGAAGATGCCCTGCAAACGTGCATGGACATGGCATGAAAAATTATGGGGATATTCATCGCCACCATTTTTGTCGGTCCATGAATGGCACTAAGGGGAAGAGTGAATGGCCTATTCGTCAACCTGGGTGATACACCCCAAACAAGTGTTATTAGTTTAAGGCCATAGGGTCATAAGCACGATCAGCTGCCGCCCTAAAAAAAACAAATAACCCGTGCGAACAGCTGCCGCCACCATTGACGAGTGGTTAGAGAAACCCTTCTTCTCACATCTGGGCTCTTAGTGGCATTGAAGTTCCTCAAAGTCGATCGAAGATCCTGGAAAAACTATCCCAAACAATTAATCTATATATGGCAGAATTTACCGATCAGTTGGGGTGGTTGACCTGGGGTCAATTTAGGCAAAGATTCAATCCATGGCGCGTCTGGGTATTACATTACATAAATATGAAAAATACATATCCGACCACATCAAAATACCTCAACGATCCGCATCGAAAGCGCGCCAGCCTGCTTCCAAAATCCCACCACCGTCCCGTCCCTCCCGTCCTCCTCTTCCAGCCCACCCACCCATCCGTGCGCCCCGGAGACGGTCACCGAGTGGAGTGCCGCCCAAGGCCCACCTGCTCGGCCAGGCGGAAGAGCACCAGCGCGAACTCGCCGCCCGGTGCCAGCAGGGCCGAGGCCTTTCGTGCGGAGCGGCGGAGCGGAGGGGACGGACCGGGACGGTGGAGGGAAACACCAGGAGTTGGAAGTGGAGTTGGAAGCAGATCCTTCTTCCAAAGGGACCGACCTAAAGGGGGCGAATTCATGAACTTGGCCAAGTCTACAGAAACTACATGGCCATTGGTTGTACATAATGAGTCGTGTATTTCTGCTATTTGGGCTGTCGTTTTCCTTTCGAAGGTCCGAATCTCTTCAAGGCTGTTGATCGGCGCAGGCATTGGCAGTAACCACTGCCAGTGTTTACCCCAAAAGCCTGAGGCTTCCCCCACCACCACCCACATTAGATGGAACATGAATAGGTGGGGGGGGGGTCATCCACCCTTTGGGTGGTTCTGGTCAGGAGTCCTTTTGTTGCAAGAATCCTTAGGATATTTTAGGGTCGCTCAACAAGGTGAACACGTCCCGCGTCGCAGATCTATTCGCCCCAGTTCCAAGAAGTGTCGATTAAGGGGAAGCAAATGCATTTCTTTGGCATTGAGTGGTGCGTGAGAACCTCAATGCATGCTCCGCTGCTTGAGAAAGCAGCCACCAGCCCCTTCTTTTGAACCCGGAAGTGGAACGAAAACCATGAAGAGTCCTTTTCTTCCGGATCAATGGTGATCAATTGCAGCCATGGGCATTTATATAAGACTACTCCCCCAACCACATCTTCCACGGCCCAACGGCTCTTTGAGGTCCAACACCTCATCATCACCAATTCGATCCACCTCCCAACCCTCCACCGCCCTCCACCCTCCGCGCAAGGTCCAGGTCCGCATGTTCGGGGGGCACCGACCTGGATGGATGCGGCCAAGGAGAGCTTGCTGGGCCGGCTCAACGCCACCACCACCAAGGTCTGCCGACGCGGTCGAGACACACGCGACGCAGTCGGATCCGTCGTCGCGACGAGGTCGACCGCGCGGGCTGGGGCCGGGCCGGGTGGGTTCGTTTTGACGACGTGTGGTGATGATGTGTCCGTGGCGGCAGGCGCGGGGAATGCGACGAGCTCTTCAGGGTTGGGTTGGGAGTATCAAGGTCCCGAATACCTGGATCTTCCAACTGTGCCAAAGTTCTGCTTTTTGGCTGCTCAATGGATGAAAAGGCTCGAAATGCATCGCATTTGGAAGATCCAGGAAAATCAGCCCCGCCAGCTAGGTGAGGTCTTTGTCCTCGGTCGCACATCGAGGCACCTTGACCAGGAGCAACACCAAGAGCAACGGGATCACCGTGAGCCAATGATTGGCCTCGGACGGTCACCGGGCCGAGGACCCACGCCAGCGCCATCACGTTGAGCTCCCGGAACACGTCGGGCGTCCTTGACGACTGCACGGGTCGTGCACGACTGCACCGTGCCCTAGAGTAGGAGACCTGTTTACGTAGGGTAGGGTAGTCGAACGCCAGGACACAGGACAGCAGAAAGGCCTGGGCTTGGGCGTGCAAGGCCTCCGCCGTCGCCGGAATGGACCGCACTACTTCAGCCCGACACCTCAAGCTTCCCAAGACACCTCCAATGGGACTGGCCTATGACTCCCATGGGATTGGCCCATGACTCCCATAGGACTGGCCCTAAACCGGCTCACTGGAGGCTCCCAGGTGGAACCACTGCCTTCCCTGCATGGAGTTGCTTACTCCCGCGCAATTGCCCTTGCAGCATCAGGCAGCCTTGTCATAAGGGGGCCCCTCAAAAGATCCCAAGACTCCATGTACTGGCATAGTTTTGTCTACAGTCTACATTGAGATGGTGGAATTCCCTCACTTTTGGGTTGAAGGGGCATTCCAAACCTTCCAGTCCCGGCCTTGTCATGTCATGTCTCGGGAACACCTCCAACATCCAACCGCAAACGCTTCCGGAGGTGAAGCACCCGGCTCAACCAGCTCTGGGTTCGCTGACGATCAGCTGCACATCGAAGGAAAAGCCCACGGTGACCTGGAAGACTCGACGATCCAGGAGTTGAAATGAACGAGCTTGAGCTTCCAGCCCTTTCCACTCCATGGATCATGTATGGATCATGTGTGAAACATGATGGAATGGAATATGTATGAAACATCATTGGGATAAAATAGCGACTGTTTTGTCTATGATCATGTATGGAGTCAGGCGTGTTGCCGGGCTTCTGCACTCCCGGCATGTTCTTCAGCTGAGATGCAAAGAAGAGGCCCAGCAGCATCCCACGAAAGGGTGCGATGTCCGCCTGCTCCCCCAGCAGGAGCAGGATGTGTGGCGGTTGAGGGTCATGTTAGGTGTTTTCACCGATCTAGATCCAACCAGGTCAATACTACAGCGACAAACTGCCTTTTTGGATCCATGGTGATGGCCTCACGACCAGCCCAACGACCAGCTACAAAGAGGTGAAATCAATCGATCAGCAAGTCACGGACTTGTGGTGGAATTCTTTAGTTGGATGTCACGCACCTTCTAGCAGCCCGAATCATAACCCCTTTCATAACCCCTTTGTGTTGGTCCCGACCTGGAGTCGCTTTTCGCGGTTTGCAATTGCTAGACCTTGATCCCATGTTCTACATGTAATTTGTGTCCATCAAACGCATCAAACCATGGCCTTTTGATGCCTTTTGCAACCCCCAAATCTGCCGAAACTCGTGTCATGTCTCAGCCTCGCCCGATCCAATCCTCCCCCAAGAACAGGTTTGCCCAGCCTGCCCCCCCTCACTCTACAGATAGGCTATGATAGGCTCAACCAACTGCTACATGTCGGCTCGCTCCAACAAACCCTATCTATGGGTCAAAGCCAAAGCCCTACTTAGATGCTGCTTGCTGAGCCTTGGGCATTAGCAGTTCAGAAGTTCATCCACCAAACTACTCGTGCTCGATGACTCTAGCATATTGGCATATTTTAGAAAAGGGAAGACGTGTGACATATATGTGTGTGTATGCACCACCTGAGCTAAGAATAAGGTGGCGCAAAACTTCCTCCAAAAGCTGCCCTTGGATGTCATTTTTCTGGACGCCCTGACAGTGCTGGCGTGAACACCAATCTGACGTGGGTCACGATCCTGTGCGGAGCTCAGAACGCTCGGAACTGCACTAATCTAAGCGAAATCGCACATGGGACATGGGTCAAAGAAAATCCAGGCTGGCACATGGGAACAGATCTCTAGGCTGGCCAGTCTCACAAAGAAAAGACACACAAACGAAATCAGCTCATTAGCTAAATACTACTATACTTGGCTACACCAAGTCTAAAAATTCAGTCTATAGTCTATCGCAGGAACATCGGAAAAACAAATAAAAACGACGAGCTCAACGTCTGATGCAACAACTTTGACAAACCAATCAAGTCTTTGACCCAATTTTCTCATGTCCACAGGAGATGAGGACACTTGCTTTGAGGTCCTGCATTGTGGCGGAAGCCTGTCACTTGATCTGACGATCCCAGATAGGGTCTCTTGCAAAAGGATGCTCTGAGTATGTCCTGTCCATCATCGATCATGGCATATCATATCATACTTTGAATCGTGTCCTTTGACCTTTGTGTAGGCCCTGACGTTTCATATTGTTTTCCCAGATTGACGTTGCCTGATGGGTCCCAATCACAGATCCACCAAAATACATTGGTCTCAAACCGGGCTCCCATCTGGGCTCCGGGCTGTCCACATGGAGTCACATCTAGCTATGCATCTCACTTGGCCAAACACACCCCTGCCAAGCGAGAGAAGTTTATACCAACCAGCCTGATGCAATGATATGATAGAATACCATCCCAGTGTCAAGACCAAAGAACAGCCCAAACAAAAAGAAAGATTGCATTTCATTGCACTTGGGCACTTGGGTCTTCGGTGATGTATATGCCATCACCAACTAACAAACCTGCCTTTGCATTGGACCAGCGTTTTCGGCTGTTTGACTACGCCATCCAAGTGAAATGCCTACCATGGTTTGTGGGCTTACGTACCGTGTAGCCCACCGTTGGCCAGTTGAAGAACCTCATTGAGAGTTGCTTCGATTTGCACCCCCATGCGTTTCACAAGTCAGCCCAAGCATTGGTCTGCGAAAAAGAACCCCGGAGGCAGTACCAGAGTCCCCTTCACAAAACCAATCCCCAAAACATCTGCTCCCAAGTCACCAAGGTATCCCAAGGTGGCCTATAGGTATCTCAAACCACCCGGTTCCCCGCTCCCCACGATCGGCCCAAACCCCGTTGGGGCCGCACCTGGGCCGTGCCGCGCCGGGTCATGGGACGCAGTTCGGTGAGTGGGTGGAGCCTCCATAGCCACCCCGGCCGCAGTCGCCTCGGGTCACCGGTCGGAGTGGGGAAGGACCGTTGGGTCCTTAACCATCCAACATCCCAACTGGTAATGACCTTTCTCTTCCTTTCTCTTCTTTTCAGTATTTTGGTGTGTCTCGGTTCTTTATCTGTTTCTGGCCTTTTCTTTTCTTTCTTCTTTCTTTCCTCTTTCTTTTCTTCGCCCTTCATCTTCGCCCGTCGTCTTCTGCCCAGGCGCGGCAGCAGGTGTCGTAGGGATTCCCGGACTTCGTGGTCCCCGGCGCCACCTTGCGCCCGCACGCCATCTTGCCTCGGGTTGCCGCAGCTCGTCGCAGGTCGATCTGTAGGAGTTGGGGAGCTGACCGGCAAAGCGATGCAAAGCTCAAGAGGATGTGATCAAGACCAACCACAGAAATTGGGAGGCGCAGATCAAGTTCCTTGGTGAAAAAGTACTCATCGTCCGGCATTTAGCACAAAAAAACACATAAAAACACACACTTCCTTGACTGAGTCACATGCCAAGTCTGGAAACCATCTCAAAACATTCACAACCTCACGGTCCTCACATCCTCCCGAGCCAATCAGCTTCACCAAAAAAAACCATCAAATCCTCCCAGCCACGCACCTGCTCTTCCCACATCTATCCACCCATGTCACCTCCACCACCCCCTCACCCTTGCTCCCAGCGGCACATGCCCGGCGCCACGGCCACAGACACGCGCTCGCCAGCGCCGCAGTGCCGGTCGTGGCTCATCCCCAGGGCACAGCCACGACAGCAGGTGGTCAACGGCCGGCCCTTTGCATCGCAGCCTGGTGGGGGTGCAACGCGGAGGACCCCACTTCTGCCAGGGTTTAGGGGTGCCTGGTGGGGTGCCCAGGTACCCTGGTGGGGTGCTAGCAGGCGTCCTCCAAGAGGTCTATCAATAGCTCCTTCCTTAGAGGTGAGGTGTCAATTAACCGTTAACCACCACTGGTGGAAGCCCACCAGCGCCTTCTTTGCGCCGACCAGCTCAAAAGGACTCAACAAAAGACTTATCTTGCATGTCCTCTTCAAAGCCTGCCTTTATGCAGCAACCGCATATCCAAGGGTCAAGGGCAATGTTCAGTTTGGGATTGGAGGCTTCCTTTGGAAAGGAAACCTCGAAACCTAGACCCAACACACGACCCAAATTGCCGCCAGTGTTTTGATGGAGGATGCTCCGTGCTTGAGATCCCCGGCCGGAAAAAAGAGCCCAGAGTCGTCCGATCAGTCTCGCATCACACACATCATTCAAAACGACTTTTGGTCTTTAGGAGGGTTCGACCTCCATTGGAGAAAGTGCTCCAAGAGTGTGAGTCCAACAACAGCAACAGCAGCAGAAGGCACCCTGACCGCCTTTGGCGACCTTCTTGCCACAGCCGTTCTTGCACAAGCCAGGCCCCACCTGATCCAATCGACTCTGACACAGTGCGGCGTCGAGAACAGTTCGGACAGGAGTGCAGCAGCCAAGCAAGTGGAAAGCCAATGAGAACTGAGAGAGACTAGAGAGAGAGAGAGAGGAAAGACAAGAATGGTTCATCAAATCCATCAGAATACTGTATAAAATTAGGTCCATAAAAATCATATAAAATCAGAAGAGATCAGAATTCATATATCAAGTCAAGGACTCCTTACACCCGTCTTCAGTAGTCAGTAGTCCTAGGCCACAAGGGGGTCGGGCGTGTGGCAGGGGTGTCACGCATGCCTGAGGATCCAACGTACCACTCAGAGAAAAAGAACACATCCTAGGAGTCACCATGAAGGGGTGGTCTTTAGTCCCATCCAGTGAGTGTTCTGGGGATCCCCTATCCTCCAAGTTCGGCACCCATCTTGTGACTCCTGGTTCATTTGCGAAGGTCTTGAGGACTTGCAGAGTTCTCGTGTCCTGGGCCTGGGTATCTCCCAAGGAATCGATGATGAACTCTCCTGTCAGACAGTGTGGCTCCCCAAGTCCTTTCCCCGTCACCTTCTCCCAGCTGCACCTCACCCCCCTCCTCCCCCCCACGCGCCGCGGAAGACTCGCGCCGCACGTGCCGCGCGCGGCGCGCGGCGCGCGGTGCCTTGGAGGGATCGATCTGCCCGCAGCGCTGATCGTGGCCGAAGCCCATGACGCCTCGGCCGAGCGACTGGAAAAACCCGACGCAACGGACATCGGCAGCGAGGTCAGAACTTCTGGGCGTGGCGCCAAGCGGGAAGGCGTCACAGGGATCTTCCGAAAAGGATTCAGCTGCAGCAGGGGAGGTTGACATGAAAATACTATCAAGTCACCTTAACAAGCATCCGTAAGCTTGACCAGGAGAAAGAAGGTTGACATAGATTGAGGTGGGTGCGCACGGGTTTTGGTGTGTGTTTCAGGTTGGGTCAGGAGTCAGGAGTCACCCACTTCAAATCAGCCCAGTCAAACCCGCCGCTTTTATAAGTACAACAACTGCTGCAACAACGTGTTGCATTTTAATCCTCACATGTGGCAGTGATCTACCACCACCACCACCACCACCACTCTAATCCCAAGTTGTGTGACTCAAACCCTATGACTCCAAGATACTCATTCCATGGATACCCTGAACCCTTCAGATCACCAGCCCCCCCACTTCAGTTCTACCCCAAGCGACAGCCGCGGCAGCAGGTGGCAAACGGCCGCCCCGCGCGCGTGACGCCGGGCGCCACCTTGCGGCCGCAGCCCACGCGGCAGTAGCCCGGCGGCACCTGGAGCGGGCCCAGCTTGGTACAAATCACTCAGGAACGAACTGGTGAAAGAGACTCATATTGGACGATATGATGGAAGGAAGGCCTATAGACTTCCCAACTTTGGCATTTGCTGGTGGAGGTTGTCTTCTTCTTCTTCTTCTTTCTTCTTCTTCTTCTTCCCAGCGGCCTGGCAACCTAAACGAAGCAACTGCTACAGCTTTTTTCTCCGGTCCAAGTGGCCCCTAGTGGTGAGGCTCCCTCC